TGCGTCGCCGCACCACCCGGGCGCACGCGGCCAGTTCGGTTCGGGCCATCTCCAAACGAACCACCGCCTCGTAGGATTCCGTGGTGAGTCACCGGAGCTCACTAGCTACCTATTTTGCCCCAGCTTCGCTGTCATTCACTGGAACACCATTGTCGTGGCTGCAGGACCTCCGCCACCATGGTCAGACAGCGCTGCTACGTCCCGGCTCGCGCTTCCTTCACCCGACGTGTCGCGGTCGCTCTTAGGTAAGAGTTGGCTCAGTAGTTAGGGAGGGGGAGGTCGGTTGTGGCCGGCGTAGCCACCTGGTGCCTGCGTCATCGCGCCGGTGCGCGCACGGGTGCCGGGGGACGTTGCCGCGGCAAAGAAGAGAAAGGAGAGGGTGGTAGATGTAAAACCTGTGACTCGGCGTAATAGTGCTCGGGTTAGTTGTGCTAATAAGGGAAATAGCAGGGGCTTTTTCGCTAATGCGCCAGACACGCGCGGCTTCGCTGTGGGCCGCCTACGTTGGGCCGCGTCGCACGATGCAGTGTGGGCCGCGCCGGTGGCTGCATGCGCGCCCGGGCGGGAAGCCGAATTGGGCCGAGCTGGTGCAAGCGTGGGCCGCGAAGTAGGAAGCAGTTTCATCTTTCCAGTGAATTTGTTAATGCTTATTCAATTTAGTTTTCAAGCTGAACTTTGGTAATTTATAGTAAATTGTGTAGTGATCCAAAAATAGTGAGACTAATTTTGTTAGGTTCACAAAAATACCATCAACTTGTTAGTACAGTTAGATTGTAGTTAGCTGTGACAAGGATTGAGTCATAAATTTAAAATAGAGAGCTAATATTATGTAGGTTAATATTTATAGGAATATTTATGGAGGAATGGTGATAGCTATAGATATAAAACTTTTACAGTAGGCTCGCTAGGTTGGTAGGTACTTGCTGTAAATTTTGTAGCCCTAGGGTAGGTTGATAAGTAGAGTAGCTATTATTCTTGCTTTATTGTATATAGCGTAAATCAGCATTAGGAGTAAGGATAGCTGTAGTTGCTAGAATGATAAATGCCATACTTCATACTTGTTGTTGATAGCAATAGATAACTTAATACCATGGTTGGTAGCACTAGCGTAGTAGTTAGACAGTGGTACTTTATTTTAAGAGATGCTGTTGCTAGATTACTAAGTATTGCATCATCATTTTATGCATGTAGATCACGAGCTGGTAGAATTCGTGCCCGTCGACGAATAAGAGTACGATGAGGTCATTGAGGAGTACGAGGAGGAGATCCTCATGCAGGAAGGAGCCTCGGAGCCGTTTGGTGGTGACCCTACTGACCCATTGCCTGTCTAAGGCAAGCCCCGGTGCATAATCCCTATTTTTAATGATCCCTAAATATATATATGTGATGTGCATTTAAGTTACAGATACTTTATAGAAACTACCTGTATAAATATATCTATCCATGAGTCCTACTAGTACAGGTCGAGTAGATGCTATGCTCAGGATATCGGTAGCGTGAGTAACCTACCGTTACTCGTAAATAGGTAATAAAATATGATCACTCATGATAAAATGGTGGGAAGAAAAATGGTGACCGGACAGGGATATGGTTTGGGTACTGGTGGGTGTAAGGGGTTGTGTCCTACGGCCAACAGGGCATGACTTGGTTACTCTTTTTCCCTGTCCGTGTCGATTAAGCACCGGTCGTTGCAATGGACGCTAGGCAAGTCACAGATCTATTGTTCCGAGCGCATACTTGGGTACGGGCGCAGGGAAGACTTGTTGCTCTTTTATCGTGGATCCGGCTCTTTCCGGACCGACTGATTGGAGGTGAAGATGGTGGAGGTCCTGGCACCACACTGAGTCCGGGACTCAGGAGTGTGGGCTTGGAGTCCAAGTTTAGACGGAGACCAAGACACCCGGGACAGGAGAGTGATGGGTTAGTCCTGCTTGTGCCTAGGGTACAAGCGGGACGTGTGTTTTCGGGGCACCCAGTTGGGCACATTGGTTCGCGAATCGCCGCCGAGTCGATACGACTTGTCTTAACTTTAGCATCGTAGTAAGAACTGAAAGATGGAAGATGATGAAATAGAACTGATTGCTCAACTCTGGTTTGAAAGTAAAATATGTGTTTATATAGACTGCATAGATAATAACTTAATACAGCCAATAATAACAACCTAAATAAGGACTCACTATTAGTATTGCTTTCTGCTAAAATAAACCAGCAAACCATAAAGCTTCTCATATTCTTTGGAGTCGGAAAATTATTTCCACTAGTCGGATAAATCTTACGAGTACATTATGTACTCAGGGTTTATTTACCCCTGTTGCAGGTAATGCATGAGAAGTACCTTTGTGTGGAGGATTCTTCTGGTGGGCTCAGACGGATCATCGTCCTTATCGTTAGATGTTTATTTTTAAATTCCGCTGTTTATCATTCCGCAATCTGATATTTGATATTGTAATAATATACTTTTTAAGAAACTCTGATGTATGAAATGGACAAGTATTGTAACTCGTTCTCATTATTGTATCTTTGGGAAAAATGTGGATTTTTCGGGTTCTTCCTTGGGGGTGTGCCGGACGGATACCGTCCACTGTAGCTTACTTTCGGGGTATTTAGTGTCTGGTGGAAGACGAACGTCTCCCTAAATATGCCATTTCGAACGGTTCTGCCGCGACATCCACGTGTGGTACTGCGGCGTCACGCGTGGGATGTAGGCGTGGGAGGTGATGTCCAGCGTGTCGCCGCTCGTCGCCGCCCGCATCGCCTGAACCTCCTTGCTGTTGCCCACTATGACACGGTACGGCGGCCCGCGGACGTCCTGCCGCGCGAACGCCCTCGCCACGGCGTACGGGCGCCACGCCAGGTGGAGCAGCACCGTCCACAGCCTCGTGACCACCACCACGGCGAGGGCGGCGGCGACCAGCGCTGCACCTCCCGTGCCCATGTCGAGCAACTAACAGGATACGAGAACTCGCGGTTCACGAAGCAAACTGCAATCCGCACGGAGGAGGATTGTACTGCGTTGTGATGTCGTCGCGTGTTTGTGTGTGCCAGCAGTGTCGCTGTGTGTGTATTGAAGCTGATTTGCTATCTACTCCCTCCATCTCTAAAAAAGAGTCGATATAAAAATCGTATTGGTTAAACTTTTTCAACTTTGATTAGATTTATTATGAGAATCTTGTCAGGAGAAGATATAAATGCTATGAGAATCGTGCCAGTAGGTGACATAAATGCTAATAATATTTACTATAACCATGGTCAAAGGTGAGCTAATTTGACCGACATGGATCTCATAATTACGTTCTTTTGTGGACGGAGGTAGTATTCTTTCCGTCCATAAAGAATGCAATTATGAGATTCCCGTCAGTCAAATTTTCTCAAGTTTAACTGAGTTTATAGTAAATTGTATTAGTATTTATGTCTTCAAATAACTTTATTATGAAAATATATTCTATAGCTAATATAATGATAATTATTTTATATAAAAATGTTAGTACCTTTTTATATAAATTCAGTCAAAGTATAGCCTGTTTGACTTCTAGAAAAATGAGAATTGCATTTTTATGGACGAGGGAGTATAAGGGGCTGTTTGGTTTCTACGTGATCTCCTAAAATTTCTGTCACATTGAATGTTTGGACACATGCATTGAATATTAAATATAGACTAATTACGAAAGTAATTGCACAACTTGCGACTAATTTGCGAGACGAATCTTTTAAGCCTAATTAGTCCATGATTTGACAACATGGTGCTACAGTAACATATGCTAATAACAGATTAATTAGCCTTAGAAAATTCGTCTCGGAAATTAGCCTCCATTTATGTAATTGGTTTTGTAATTAATCTATATTTAATGCTCCTTATTAGTATCTAAACATTCGATGCGACATGAATTTTAGGAGCGACTAAAGAACCAAACACCCTCTAAGGCAAGAGCTTTGTGTGACGAGGGAAGATGTGACGGGTCGGGTGCGGACTTTTGGTGAGATCATGGATGACTCGGGTGTCTAAATACTGCATAGTAGTCCATCTGCCTCTAAATATTTGTCGTTTTCATTTCCTGAGAAATAACTTTGACTAAATATATATAAAAATATTAATATTTATGGTATATAATTAATATCATTAGATATATATTTGAATCTAGTTTTTAATATGAAGATATAAATATTGTACGTATTTTCTACAAATCAAGTCAAAGTACAGAAACCAACGACGACAGTTATTCAGGACGGAGGGAATACCTTTTTTGCGTCTTTGTTTTCGTCGGCTTTCCCGTGGTAACATAATTTTTTTTATCTGACTACTTGATCGAGTAATGCATGAGATCAACATGTGGACTTGTGTGAAAGAAAAGTTGGTAAACTGCTACTTGTGGATCAACGGAGGCCCAGCTCTGTAGTAACTACGGAGTCGAAGTAACTACGGAGTAGTAGTAACCAGGACGATGATCTATCGCATCGCATCGCATCTTCTTCTCCGTGACCCGTTCCAATCGAAAATCATACACGCCATCCCTGTGGATCAATGGAGGCACAACACCATTCAGATGATTCAGACCTGTAACTCAAACAGCAGATGCACTTAAAGGCCAGAAAAGAATAAAAGATAAGGAATAGTAACTCACAATTTTCATACCTTTAGCTTTACCGTTGGCAATTGAGGTTAAGCTGTGTCAGAGCATTTCCTCAAGGCTAGAATCTACTACTTCCTGACAAGAGCTGCAACTTCTTGAGCCACTGGCATTTGTAGATCCCGTAATGGGAATAGATAAGCTGAGACATTTTATAAAACAAAGTCAACATTCTATTGCATTGAACAGATATTACACTGATCAACTCCCGCTACAAAGATTGGTCAAACAACAAATAAATGGCAAGGAAGCAACAATGAATCAGGTTGCTTCATAACATTACATGAATCAGCTAAGCCGCTACAATGCAATGAAATAGTCCCTGTGGTACTACAATCCTACATCAAGAAACAGCTACTAGCAGCGATCTAATAACTAAACAATGTCATGTGTCCAGGGTGACTTGAAGTTCTTGAACCACGGGTGCTCAAGCGCTTCCGCCGCGGTGAGCCTCTTCTCAGGGCAGAAGGCCAGCAGGCCCGTCAGCACATAACGCCCAATCTCCGACAGATCTGCCAAACATTCTGGATCAAGCTTTCCGGCTGCAGAGGTCATCCGATCTCGAAGCTCGGACATCTCGTCAAACATCTCCTCATGTGTCTCTGCGTGGAACAGAGTCTCACCGCTTAGAAGCTCCGCCATAACGCACCCGAGGCCCCACATGTCGACAGCCGGGCCGTAGTACCAATTGCCGTCGAGCAGCTCCGGCGCGTTGTACTGCAGCGTCCCGACGGGGGAGGTCTCATGCGCCTTCCCGGCGGGCTTCTGTCGCGTCGCCGATCCAAAGTCACACACTTTGAGCTCGCCGAAAGGGCAGACGAGGATGTTCTCTGGCTTCATGTCCCGATGGATGAAGCCCACACCATGGATCTTCTTGGCAGCGCTGAGGAGCTGCTGCATCATCACGCGGACCACGTCCTCGGACAAGGGCCTCCACATGGAGTCGCGGAGGCTTACCCCGCCGTGGACCAGCTCCAACACAAGGTGGACGTCCCCAGTGCTAGGGTCGGCGGCGACATCCTGGATACCGATGATGGAGGGGTGGCCGCGGCACACGTGGAGGCAGCCGGCCTCCATGGCGAGCGCGCGGCGATCGGGGTGGCCGATCCATTTGAGCGCCACCTTCTTGCCGGTGCGGCGGTCGCGCCCCCTGCGCACGACGCCTTCGGCACCCTCGCCGAGCACCTCGAACAGCTCGAACTCGTCGATGCTCCGGGGACCGCTGTGCCGCGGTCGCTTGTTCGCGTCAGCAGCGCGTGCTTCTTGGTCCGGTGCCGGGCGCTTGCGAGCCGTCGGCACCGCCGCAGACATGATCTCAACTCGAGATTGGGAGAGAAGGCAGTGGGAATCTGGGATCGAAAGTCGAGCGGAGAGCAGAGAGAAAGCGAATTGCGAATCGAGATGGAACGAAGCGATTGGCAGAAGGGGAGGGAAGGGGATCCGACAGCTGCGATGGTGGTGGCCGGTGGCGTCGCTCTAACGCCTACGAGTTACGACTCCGACTCGAATTCAATTTTTGGTTTCAAGTAGGATAAGGCCCTCGCGTTTTCGGCTTTTCGCGGGCGCGCGAAAATTGCTTGACTGCCACGAAAATGGCTTGACTGCTCTGGGTTTATGACGGCGAGGCTTTGCTGACCTCACCAACGTTACTTTCTGACATCAGCACAGACTTTCTTAAACAAAAATTCTTTCAAGAAATATTATCTGTTCTTGTTTGCATAATATAAAAATCACTATGATGGAACAAAATAGAAAATTACATTAGCATGGACCAAAAAACATCAATAATAGCCATAGAAAAAAAAATAACTAACACAAAAAAGGAATCATTGTGTGGCCAAGAAAAATATATAACAGTCGGGAATTAAAATTAAATTAAATTAACATGAACAAGAAAACACTATTTTGATGAATAAAAAAATACGAGTAAAATTACGATGAACACAAAACATACTACCATAAACCAAAAATAATTAGGCGATGGAACAAAAGAAGATGAAGGTTCATGGGCAAATTTGGCATCACAAAGAAAAGCCAATGAACAAGAACAAAATTGCCGCGGAGATATATATTTGAAAATATAAAATTCTAAGAATAAAACAAAGAAAAATCCTCCAAAAATAAAACTATTTGACATCGGCAGAACCATCATATGTTGACATCATCAGATCACTATGCTCATAAGTGGGTCGACCAATGTCAAATGTTCCATGAAGCAAAAGAGGAATAAGATTTTGCACAACGAGATCTCGTGACTCGTCTGATGTGATTTTTTATTTAAATTAGTTTTCATATACATAATTGGATTAATAATAAACAACTGTAGAAGTATACTTGTTGGTGCAGAAAGTGACCAACACGTAAATATTTATAGTTTTGCCGTACGTTGTGATCGGATATGGCCTAGCACTCAATGACACAGGGTTTATACTGGTTCAGGCAACGTGCCCTACGTCCAGTTTAAGTCGGTCGGTGACTTTATTCCTGAGCCCAGGTGCTCGAAGTTTGTTGTGGGGTTACAAACGGAAGAGAGTAAGATGGGGGTGCAAGAGGTCCGGTCGGACTCTGGACCGAAGTGCCGAGAGTGACGGGAGCTCTTGCCTGCGCTAAGTATTCGAGCGTGCACTCTGTGTAGCTTTAGAGTGTCTAAAACTAGTAGAGGGTGAATCGATCGTTGGTTGTTCGAATTGCTCGAGAGTCGTTGGAGTGTTGTTGATCGATCGATCCTCTGTTGGGAGAGAGTGCATCCCCTTTTATAGATGAAGGGGACGACCTTACAAGCGAGCGAGAGAGAGAGAGTATGTATGATACTAAGTCTTGTTGCCCACGTCGTCAGGTACAAGATGATGGTAGACGCCCACAATACTGTTTGTGTCAGACGCATGTGGGAGGTTTTACCGCATTCACCATGTATGGCAAATGACAACGCCCACAATATTGTTGATGCCTAGAGGCATGTGGGGGATTTTACCGTGTTCATCTGGTATGGGAATTGATGGCGCCCACAACACTGTAGGGTAAACATCGGCGCCCACAACACTGCTTGGGTTCTGACATGCCTAAAAGGTTGCAGGGCACCCTTCTAACATGTCCTATCGGTACTGTCCTGCAGGTATACAGGGTACTATCCTGCAGGTGTACAGGGTACGGTCCTTGGTATTACTTTTGACTTGAGCGTCCTACCTTACTTGCTCCGTCCGTTTTCTGGGTTCTCACCGAGCGGGCGTCCCCGGTCGGTTGGTCCCAGTCGACTCCGACTGCGTCAGTCGGAGAAGAGCTGTAAGCAGAGGTTCGGTGCATCTCCGGTCGGAGAAGCGGATCGGAGTCGGAAGCGAGCGACGTTCCTCTTGGCTAGGCCTTCCGGTCGGAGAGACGGGCCGGAGTCGGAAGCGAGGCCTTCCAGTCGGAGAGGCGGGCTAGAGTTGGAAGCGAGCGCTGTTCCTCTTGGCCAGACATTCGGTCGGAGAGACGGGCCGGAGTCGCAAGCGGACGCCGTTCCTCCTGGCCAAGCCTTTCGGTCGGAGATTGGATCGTCCTTCTGGCCTGTCGTTAGGTATTTGGGCCGGCCCAGGAGTTGCGCTTCGTTCGCAACGTCGTCTGCTGGACCAAACTTTTGCTGGGAAGCAGGTCCATGAGGGACCCCGGGTTTATGAACCCGATAATACTACTCTCACCAATTGAAATGAAAAGATTTAAAGTTCAACATTTCTATTGATAGAATCTCCAATTAGCGAATTTTGTTTTCCGTGTATGTTTAAATAATCATAGTTTTTTTTCCATTTGAGCTGGGGTGGACTTATATGAAAATCGCCCGAGCTTAATAAGATCTACAACTTTGTAGCTTACAACTTTTGTGTTTGAAGCTATATTAGTACCAAGATAATCAGTGAAGTGTTTAGACATACAACTTTTACCGATGCAAAGTTCACATCTATAGCTTATCTTCATACGGATATGAACAATGTATGGATCATTTCGGTACCAAGACGACATCAAACAGAAGTGTTGTGAGCTACAAAGTTGTAGATCCCATCGACTAATGCCATAATCATATAAATTTAATCTTTCAAATGACAACATATAAAATGAGATTTACTACATAGGGGATGAATAAATAGCCATCGAGGTATCCCACTTGTAGCATAGAATATCTTAAAAGTATAACATTTTCATATGACCACCAATAAATTTATGTAAAAATGTAGTACTCAATAAATTAATAACTTTGTAGCTCACATCATTTTTTTGTTTGAAGACATCTTAGTGTTGAAATAATCATTACAATGTTTAGGTTTACAAATACGTATGCGAACATGCTATGTAACAAGATAACTTCAAATAAAAAGTCATGAGATTAAATCTTTTAGATTTCATCGAGCTCTACAAGTTTATATAAATTTTATCTCCATCCATGCTAATATGGAAAATGTATAAATTTTTAAGAAACATTACAAAGAACAAAAAAGTAAATTCAACCAATTCAAATGGTATAAAGGAAAATTCTACCAATTCAATTAGCGATATGAGTATTTTTTTAATAAAAAGTTATCCAACCATTTGTTTTGCAAAAAGTGAATTAAAAATAGAAAAATAGGGAAAATCCTAATATGATCTAAATGAGTGAATTTTTGGGCTTTGCCATGGGTGTCCTTGTTTTGCCTTGTCTAGGAGACGGGCAGAAGCTTTGCTGCATATTGTAACTGGTAGTAGAGATGTTTTGGGCATTGAAGTGTATATTGCTTTGGGTTTCTTGGAACCTTTCGGTGGCATTATGAGATTGTTTGTATTTCTTATAATTACTGCAAATAGCTTTAAGTATATAATTGGTTTGACTTTCAAAACCTAATGCCAAAAGTCAAAGTGACACAAATCGAAGGTAAAGACTGACTGAACTCAATATTCTTTTCACACCATCATGTCACATCATGTACATGAGTGCTCTATTTTGAGAGGCAAATTGCCATGTTCTCCAATGATCATTTTACCCTTGTATGTGATCAATCGGCTACACCCATGGAGTGAGGTAAGGTCTTCTTGCTACACTACGATGATGATGAGGTTGAGGATGATGAACACATTGGGTCATGATCTTCCTAGATTACAATGTCTGAGTTAGAGACAGAGTGTGGATGAATCCTTGATTTCTCCCTTTCTTAATGGTAGAGAGACGGGAGAGGAGGAAGCATAGTGAAGAAAGAGTGAAATGGAAAGTGGAAGGATAATGTTGTGTTGCTACTTGTCGATCTAACATGTGAAGTACTAGGGGTGTGGGGCGTGGACACCTCACTACAAGCAAGAGCTGAATCACTGTAGCATTGTTAGATGGTCCAACCACATAATTTGTCTTGGTCGATTGATTAGTCAACATAGTTGAAAGCTCTAGTTTGGTTTTGGTGAATTGATGAAACCCTAAGTGCTAACCTAGTTTATCAAGTGATCATGAGATATGTAGCACATTCTAAGTGGTGAAGCAAATGAAGATCATGACATAATGATGGTGATGCCATGGTGATGATCAAGTGCTTGGACTTGAAAAGAAGAAAGAGAAAAACAAAAGGCTCAAGGCAAAGGTATAAGTGATAGGAGCCATTTTGTTTCGGTGATCAAGACACTTAGTGAGTGTGATCACATTTAGATTCGATAGCCATACTATTAAGAGGGGTGAGACTCGTATCAAAATGCGGTTATCAAAGTGCCACTAGATGCTCTAACTCATTGCATATTCATTTAGGATCTAGTGGAGTGCTAACACCCTTGAAAACATTTGTGAAAATATGCTAACACATGTGCACAAGGTGATAAACTTAGTGGTTGGCATATTTGAGCAAGGGTTAGAAACTTCACCGGCAGAGTGTCCGTCCGTAGAGTGCAGATAGTCCGACGGTGCCACCGGCGCTCTATACAGAAAAGACGGAGGTTACTGTAAGTGATCGAACGCTGGTCTCGGTAGGACCGGTGTGTCCAATCAGTGGCAGCAGTGAGCGCGCGGTTTCGGTCTCATGACCGGACGCTGGCGTGAAAAATGACCGGACGTGCAGGGTCTGAGTCCGGTTAGTATGACGTATGATGACGTTGAGTGACCGGACGCTTGGTGTGTTCGGTCGGGCTCGACCGGACGTGTCCCGTCGTGATTTTTCGCTTCTGGTACCTTACTGGAAATGACCGGACGCTGGTGTTGGTGCGTCCGGTCACTTTGAGTAGCGCGTCCGGTCACTACTTAAATGTACCGATGATCGTTGAGATCGGGCGATCAACGTTTGAAGCCGATGACACGTGGCAAGCATCGGGCGACCGGACGCTAGGGTCCTACGTCCGGTCGATCTGACCGGAGCGTCCGGTCACCACGTGTTGTGCCTAGTGAAGGGGTACAACGGCTCTATTTCGTGGGGGCTTCTATTTAAGCCCCATGGCCGGCTCAAGCTCACTCTCTTGGCCATTTGCAGTGATATAGCAACCTTGTGAGCTTAGCCAAAGCCCTCCCACTCATCTCCATCATAGATTCAACATCTTTGTGAGATTGGGAGTGAATCCAAGTGCATTGCTTGAGTGTTTGCATCTTGAGGCACTTGGTGTTCATGTTTCACTGCGAGATTCGCTTGTTACTCTTGGTGGTTGCCACCACCTAGATGGCTTGGAGCAGTGAGGATCGTCGAGCGGAGGTTAGTGATTGTCTCCGGCTCTGATCGTGGTGATTGTGAGGGGTTCTTGACCTTTCCCCGGCAGAGAGCCAAAAGGTACTCCAGTGAATTGCTCGTGGCTTGTGTGATCCTCATCTTGTGTTGGTTGTGCGGCACCCTATTGAGGGTTTGGCGTGTGATGCCAATTAGCGCGTGAACCTCCAAGTGAGTGAATCACCACAACGAGGACTAGCTTGCCGGCAAGCAAGTGAACCTCGGTAAAAAATCATTGTGTCATCATTTGATTCCGAGGTGATCGGTCTTCATTGGTATTCATTCTTGTGATTGATTGGCTCCTTCCTCGACATGGCGGTATAACCATCTTGCTCACTCTCTTTACATTACCGCAAACTAGTTGTCAAGCTCTTTAGTGTAGCTAGTTGTGAGAGCTTGTTAGTTTGGTTAGTGTGACTCTTTAGTTAGCCTTTGAGAGCACACTAACTTAGTGTAACGACATAGCTATTGTGTGGATAGAAACTATATAAACTAGAATTATGGTAGGTGACTTGCATTTTTAGTAGGCTAGCGCAACACTTGCTTCGCCTCATAATTGTCTAACCGGTTTGCTAAGTGTTGTTGTATAAATTTTTAATAGGCTATTCACCCCCCCCTCTAGTCATTAGGACCTTTCAATAGTGTTAGGTGTGGCAGTACCATAAGGATGAGAGGCTACGACGACTGATTTGACAGCAAGGTCTTTACTAGGATTTGGTTGGACGGCTATGAGCTTCTATGCCTCTCATGTAAGTGAATTTGGTGATTAATGATAACATTGATTTTTGTGACTAACATTTTTGTTTTGGAGAAATAGGTTAATGTTAGGTTGCAAAGCATGAATATGAAGAAATGTCCCCAAGCATGAATGAAGAAGCAAGTTGAGGAACACCCAAGCATGAACATAAAGTAACGTCCTCAAGCATGGATGAAGAAGCAAGTTGAGGAACACGGGGCGCGAGGAAGGAGCATGTACATCGATAACAACCTAGACAAGTATGTCTCCCCAATTTCTGTAGTCCTCCTCGGCTGGGTCCACCCGTCAAATGTGCAGTAATCAATTAGTTGCGTTAGATGGAAAATAGAAAAAAAAACATCCAATGGAGGAGATTAGAGGTGGATAGGATAGATTAGGCACTACAAGAGGTTAGGCCTTCTATGACAAACTGATTGTGATAATTACAACATTTTTCTTGTCATTGTATCCCTTATGTGACTATATGGCTGTGGTCATAGAAGGTGGGTCATAATCCCCCTTCTGTGACTAACAGACCCAATTGTCATTAATCTTAGTGACAATTATACGTTTGTCACCAAGTTATGACGATGGTATTTGTCACTATAGTTGTCATAATACATTAGGCGGGATGATGACAAGTGTACTGTCCAGAGATCTGACGTGGCAGATGATGTGGTGCGTGACGTGGCCCATGTATCATGGTTTGCTTTCCTCACTAGTTAATTGGGCTAAAACTAGTTTGGCCCACACGTTGTGGCTGGCCTTTTTGGCCCAATTTCTTATGAATCTTTTTAGCCCATTCTTTTTTTTCTCTAGAGGTCGAGCATTCATATCATCAACCAAGCCCACTTAAATATTCATCACAAATAATAAATCACATCACCAATTACATAATAATCACAATTTTTAACGTGCGACCATAATATTTCCTCCAAACACAATGCTTCATACAACATTAGGTGCTCCAAATGTGTCATGATCCTGGTTCTTCCGGGAACATTACAACCCATATAAATATATCAACCAGCTCAAATACACATGAGCAAACCCATATACATACATCAGCCAACCCATATAGTTCTGTGATCTTATATTAACATCTCCATACCAGGTATCTTGTACTAAATTTCTTCACGTACCAGCATGCCTCCTCTTGAACTCAATGGTCTGTTACATGAAACACCAGATAATTAGAGATAGAATCTCATAGGCACGTCACTATTTTCAGCTAGCAACTTGACTAGTTTAACCACTCTGTATATATCATCAGATTGCAGTATTAGTTTTGAAGTTTATGTTGCCAACACAAGACTACATTCAGGAACTGCATGTCAAAAAAATTGAAAAAAATAAATTAGCAGCAAGCTACTAAACGCAGCAGAAAAAGAATAATATGGGCTATGGGCGCGGTACTAACAGCAAGCTATTTAAAAGCAGCACAAAAATGAAAAAAAAAAAGTAACTAGCAATCAATCAATTAATAGGTACAAATATTTCTCAAAGCAGTAAAACAAATCAATAGTAAATAAGCAGCACACTAATTAGTCAGCTAACAGGAGCTTCTATTTACACATGGGCAAAATAAGCCAAGCTTAAAAAATAAAGCATACTGCTATTGCTGCTATGCCGAACTGAACTCTACTGAACTGAACTGCTAGCAGTAGCTACTGAACGTACTTCACAGAACTGAACTGAACTAAACTGCTGCTATGCCGAACTGAAAGCTATATAGCTACTGCTGCTGCTGCTGCTATGCCAAACTTTCGTCATGTGCTATTGTCACAAAGACTGGGAAGGGCACACGGTGACGGTTGTTTATGACTAAAACACATCTTGGTCACGAACGCTTGTCATCTTCTGAAAAATTATCATAAACGCAAGAAGGCCTAATCTCTTGTAGTGAGGGCGAGCTATATTTTTCAAGTAATCCATTCCTTTGTAGCGTAGATATAGATATATACTATGTATAGACATTTAAAAAAACATAAGAACGTGCCCCTAATCCAACAAAAAAATCCATTACACAAAAGAGGAAGTTGTCACAAGTTACAAGAACAGGTACACGGCAATGGCAGAGCCAGCCATACGGTTCTGTATTACTAGTATATAGCTCGTGCCTCGTGCAAGAAAATTCTGCACCAAACTCGTTCTAGAAACAACACCTGCTCTAGCTCCCCTCAAGCTAGGCAGCTTATGAACCTGCACAACACAACGCCACCCCTTCACCCTGCAAGCGCCGACGCTGGAAAGTTCATGCATGGGCGTCAAACGTTCGATCTTCTCGGCGGCTTGGGCGAATCGCTCGCTCTTTGAGCTGAACACTGATCTTGGGTACTGAGAATCGACCATCATCTCCTGTAAATTTCCCATCGAATACTCGTCTCAGTTATGCTTAGAATTGAAGTTCGTTATTAGTCGTGTTGGAAAGAAAAAATTGAAACGGAAGTGTTGGAAAAAGGTTTGGTTGTTATGGACGGAGGATGCTTACGGCGGCGTGCGACAGTGAGACATTGCTGTGGAACGGCGAGCTGTGCATGCCCATGCCGCCGCCGCCGCCGCCGCCCCTGATGGCGCCGCAGTACTGTATGTTGTCCTCGCCGAGCGCGCGCAGCCGGTTGAGCTCTGGGAGCACGACGGAGCCGAGGTCCGGCCGGTCCTTGCGGCGCAGCTCGCAGCAGCGGAGCGCCATCTCGGCGAGGCACTGCGCCTCCTCCAGGGGCCAGTCCGGCACGGCGGGGTCGAGCATGTCCAGCAGCGCGCCGCGCTCTATGGCGCGGCCGACGTGGTGCGACAGCCCCATGGGCGGCTTCGCCGTGATGATCTGCAGCAGCATGACGCCGAAGGAGTAGATGTCGGACTTGACGCCGAGCATCCCCGTCTGCTGGTACTCCGGGTCGATGTAGCAGAAGGTGCCCGCGGTGGACGTCATCCGGTACTGCGTCACGGTGTCGGCGACGGACGGCGGCACGAGCCGCGCCAGCCCGACGTCGCTGATCTTGCTCACGTAGTTGCGGTCCAGCAGGATGTTCCCCGGCTTGAGGTCCCGGTGCACCAGCGGCTCCGGCTTGGTCTGGTGCAGGAACAGCAGGCCCGTGGCGATCTCGGCGCAGATGCGGAACCGGTGCTGCCAGGGGATGACGGGCCCGGCGGCGCCGGAGGAGCGGCGGAACAGGCAGTCGTCGAGGCTGCCGCTGGCCATGTACTCGTACACGAGGCAGCCGTACTCCGGGCACGCGCCCAGGAGGAGCACCATGTTGGGGTGGCGGATGCAGCTGAGCACCTCCACCTCCTGCTGGAACTGCGACCGGCCCTGCGCCGCGTCGGGGCGGAGCACCTTGATGGCCACCTGCGTGTGGTCCAGGAAGCCCTTGTACACGGGGCCGTACCCGCCCTCGCCCACCTTGCGCGCGTCGTTGAAGTTGTCGGTGGCGTGCTCGATCTCCTCGATGGCGTAGCGGCGGTACCGGACCTCGTGCGACATGCCGCTGCTGCCGCGGTTCTTGCGCTCCTCGGCCTCCTTGAGCAGCTTCTTCTCCGCGCTGATCCGCTTCTGCACCTCCATCTCCGCGATCCGCTGCGACGCCTCCGCCGCCTCCATGGCCACCTTCGCCTTGGCCTTCTCCCGCTCGATCATCGCCATCGCCGAATCCTCTGTTATCCGCGAGTCCTGCGTCTTCTGCTCCTCCTCCATCTTCCACCGCTGCAGCTCCATGGCCTTCTGTTTGGCCGTCAGCGCCTCCTTGCAGGCCGTGCTGTACATGTCCATGGTCTGCTTCAGCTCCAGGCGTAGCCTCTTCATCTCCGCCTCCACGTCGTCCTGCTGTTATTAGCATAGGAGTGCATGCATTGTTTCTCTCATCAAGAATTCAAGATGGTAGCAATGGACATCAGAGTTGGGCTAATAAATAAAACAAAACAAAAGAAATCAAGTCACCATGCCGAGGGAGCAGAAGGAAGAGCTGCTGCTCTGCGAGAAGGTGGTGTGGTCCATGCCGCCGCCGAAGGAGTCGCCGCCCCACTTGCTGGGCGTGCGCGACATCTCGAAGCTGTGGTCGTAGCTGTCCACGGAGCCGTTGGACATTCGCGGCGGGATCGCGGAGTGGTGCTCGACGCTCCGGCGCCCGGTGCTGCTGACGAACGAGATGTCCGCCGAGTCCGGCATGGACATGTGGCTGAGGTCGGCGTACAACTTGCGCGTGTTGGCGGGGCCCCCGCGCGCGAACGGCGAGCGGAAGTTGTCGACCCGCGGCGTCTCGCCGTGGTCAGAGTGGCCCCTCGACGACGAGGACCACCGCTGCGACTGCGGCGGTGGCTCGGGCTTGGGCGTCGCGGCGGCGCCCTGCGCCGACTGGATCTGCGACCGGAGCGGCGACACCCGCGGCGCGGCGCGGATGGAGTTGCGCTGCGACGACACCTTCCCCTTGTTGACGATGTACACCGTGCAGAAGTCCGGCGCGCCCTTGGAGATGGTGGTCGGGATGTCCGCCTTGAACCGGACGAAGCCGCCCCTCGCCGTGGCGCCGAGGACGAGCTTCTCCACGGCCGCCTGCGCCGAGAACTCGATGATGGACTTGGCCACGTCGTGCTCGTCCAGCACCACGTCCTTGCAGTGGATCTGCAGCAAGGCAGCGTACATGTCAGAACCTCTCTCCATCAGTGCACGACGACACGCATGCGTGCTCGGATGCTCCGATTGTCACGCACGTCTTTGCGGGTGCAGAAGCATCGGAACGGGAGGAAGAGGTCCTTCATGTGCGGGTCCGTCGGCTGCTTGAACCCGGCGGCGTCCTCCACGCCGCCGGAGGTGCCCTTGGTGTTGACGTGGACGAGGACGATGGTCTGCCCCTTCTGGACCAGCGAGTCGATGGCCCACTTGAGCGCGTTCTGGCTGTTCTTGTCCTTGTCGATGCACACGGCCACCAGCGGGTAGCCAAGGTCCGTCCCCGCGTCCCTGCCTCCGTCATGGTACGACCGCCCCATCGTCAGCCGTCGCTGTCGACGGCGGCGTATGGTGTGACCCTCCTAGCTTCCGCCGGATTAATCGTTCGGCTCACGAGCCACAACACGACGACCGACGAGGATCTCAGTGTTGTGCCATGGCCAGATCGATCGATCAACGGACGGGAGGACGACGGGGGCACGCCGAGGGGCCGGGAGGGCACGTCGTCGGTCTTCTTCGCAGCTTCCTGCTCGAAGGTTGACCCCCGTTATATTGAGCACGCTATTTTGGGGATGTGGTGGCCGTCTGGGCCGTACGTGCCGGCCGAAAATAGAGGTGTTCACCGGGGCTTCAACCTCGTTCAACGGGTGGCCACTGGACAACGGATTCCTGCCCTTTTGGAACACGTGTTATATTACTCGAGTTTTTTTTGTTTACCTTTTTTGGAAACAAAGGCCCTTCGTCACAAAACCACCGTCCTTGCATTGCTCACGAGTGCACAGGATTTCAACTTGTACCTCCTCCATTCCAAACTAGTATAGGTTATTTCAGCTTTTCCAAAGTCAAACTCAACTTCTTTAACTTTGCATAGTTTATAGATAGAAAAACATATCAAAATCTATAACAACAAATTAGTTTCACTAAATTTTTTCATAAAATATATCTTGAAAGTGTGTTCACTTAAACATGTAGATGCTAATATATATTTTTTATAAAAAACTTTGTCAACGTTAATAAAGTTTCACATAGGATAAAGACAAAGTGAGCTATAATTTTGAAAAAAAAGAAGATTAGTATGACATCATGAATCTATAGGAAACACGTTTCATGCCGTCTAAAGCTAAAATTATTTTCCTATAGATTATGTAAGATGGTGAGATTTATTTCACTTATCAGGCCATTACCTCTTTTACTCCCTCACTTTCAAATTATAAGACATTTTGGTTTTTCTAGATACATTTCTATAAAGCTAAGTCAACCGTAATGCGCTTAATTCATTAAAAAAACTTGTTAGGTGACTCTATTTTCAAATATTGCATTTGAAGTATACATGTATGTTTGGTTGGGTGGCTAGCTCTCTATCCAGGCTCTAGGAATGCATTCTAGCTTTTATTTGGTTGTCTCTTTTGGGCCCAATGCCAGACCCAACTAGTGCACCGACCATCCCTTGGTCTAGCTACCGGGAAACGCTCGGCCCCTTCATTTTCAAGGAGCCTGGCTTAGCTTGTACAGGCGACAGGACTGATTCCGCTCACATCCGTGCTATTTCACCGCGGCTCGCCTGCCTCTTCATTGCCTTTGTCGCCGACATGTCATAGCCCCAGGGTTCGCACTCTGCCTCCACCCTATCGACCACTGCCCAGGAGTCGTTCTCTGCTTCCATCCCGCCGGTCGCCACGTGATCCACGGTCCGCTTCCACCTCGCCGGGCGCCGGCTGTTGGTGGATCCGCGCTCCATCCCCACACCGTGCGACCGTCGCCAGAGGCGGTGCCAGTGGTGAGTATCCGCCTCATGCGCGCTCCAAGAGCTCGGCCGCTGGGCTCGCGCCTCCACCCGTCTATAGAGTCATCAACGCAGACTAGATTCAGTCTATAGAGCCGATGGAAGAAAAAGAACACGAGCTGAAGAACAAAGTGAGGCCGTGAGGGAGAGGTGATTTTGGCTAAGATTCACCTTCACTAAAAAGAGGTGATCCTATCTAAGCTAGCTAGACAACCAAACACGATCTAGATAAGCCAGACTTTACTAGTATAAGCAAACCAAATACATGCCTCTTGTATTACTGGAACCAGGGTTAGGCTGGCTAGGCCTAGTTGGGTAGCTAGTCTAGTCTAGATCTAAAACGTGAACCAAACACAACCTATATGTCGTGTACATGTCGCTAAACAAAGTTAGCTTTGCCGGCATAATAAATAGATAAACTTTCATGTGAACGCCTTAGAATGAAGCCTTAGGTTTATGCATGGAAACAAAGTATGCCTAAAGTTAAACATGTATATTCTTTACCGATATAGTGTATCACATATCTGTGTCCATACAGTCTCAATATTTTTACATATATATTAGGTTCCTGTCCTCGGGTATATCTGACCTTTGCTCAATTGTATAATTAGATTTATTCAAGTAACAGATTACAATATTGCAGCAGTATATTTTCTTTCCTCAAATCTCCTTCATAGTATTAACTATTTGGGTTATTTTGATTGAAGCCATTACAATTTTCACGTTTCGGAGATTTACCATTACAATTTATCTAATAGGAAATTTGCCATTATAATTGTCGAACTCGCTGACAAATGCCATTATGGACGTATCTGGCGTCCTTGGGCCCACCTGCAGGTGATGTATCTATGTTGTATTCTCGTATAGACCAAATTGCCCTGGGGGACAGAAGGACAAGGCCCGATTCGTATCCGCTCGATTCATCATTTCAACGATACGCGTCCGTGGCTTCCAGAACAGCAACCTCGATTCATGTCTCGCCGGTGGCGGCTTTGGAAACCGGTGTGGGCGCAGGCTGCCGGGCGCGGTAGATGAGTGGTCGCGGGCGGTCCGTCACTACGGTGGCGCGGCGGGCGGTCGCTGCGGAGGCAGTCGCGGGCGGGCGCAGCTGTTGCGGGCGGGCCGTCACTGCGGTGGCGCGGCAGGCAGTAGCTGCGGAGGCAGCCGCCGCGTTCGTAGCTGGCGGATGCGGGTGCTGGTGTCCCAGTCGTCGTTGCAGGCGCAGGTGGCGCAGCCAGCTTGGAGAGCCGCCGCCGCCGAGAACGAATCGAGGCTGGTAGGGTATGTCGCGCTAAATGGGTCTCTATGTCCGGGATGGCCTTATCCTTTTGTCCCCAGGGGCAATTTGGTCTCTATGGAAATACATAATGGGTACGGCACCTGCGGGTGGGCCCAAGGACACCAGATAAGTCTATAATGGCAATTATCAGCGAGTTCAACAATTATAATGATAAATTTTCTATTAAATGAATTGTAATGGCAAATCTCCAAAACGTGAAAATTGTAATGGCTTCGATCAAAATAACCCTAACTATTTTGTTGATTTGATTCGGCTGGTTTTGTTGGCCAAGGGCCTTTCACAGGTTGCTTCCCTTTTTTTTACCAGAAACATGTGCGTCACTCCTGATCTTCGTCTTATTCTTCCAGGAAAACCTCATGTGCTGATGAGTTCATGTTATCTATTTTGGGAGATGGCAGAGGAGGTCGAGTCCTAAATTCTTTTCGTTTCTTTTAATGTTTGTAAGCACCCTAATTTTAGATATTAATAACTTCTACTATATGTTTACTACCGTTTAACGTATTGTGTTATATACCCCTAAAATAGAACTCATGTCTTACAATTGAGGAGTGAAACAGTTTGATGTTTTTCCTCCAAAGATCAGTTTCCTTTCTCTGTCATGTACACATGTTTGCTCGGTTACTACTTAATGGTTCTTTCGACATTTTTTCTGACATTTTATTAGGTTCTAAACTCCCATGTTCCAAATTTTCTTCCACACATTATTTTTTGTCTTTATGCAATGAACAATTCAACTGGAATTTATTTTATCTATAATACTATTTCAAAATATATCTATTTGGACAGAACAACACACTATGCCGTTGTTTCCACAGAACATCTATTATTTAAACAGCTAGGAAACGGGCGTTCGTTGGTCCGGACGAACCGTTCTGTGCGCCCACGTTTTTTTAATACGTGCCATCGGGTTGATTTGTTTTAAGCGTCCGGACCGACTGCTCCGCGGCCACGCCCCGCTCGTGTGTCGTTGCTCCAGACTGCAATGGCTGCTCATTGGGTCTGGTTATATTTTAATCTATTGACGTAACGTAAGAAAAATATGTGCATGTACACTTATGTACGGAGGTCTCATCAGACGTTCAGAATGTGAATACGTGACATGCATGTATACGAGAAGATGACATAATCAACATGCATGGAGAGTTGTGCTGAATGACCAGCTAGAGCAACGTATGACCACCGTCTATACTTGCATGCATGTGCACAAAAATGCCTTTGGTCCAAAAATAATTATAGACCACAAATATACATGAGTCTGATTATATTGTGAGTCAATTTAGTATGATCAACATAAATAGCAACCATTTCTGCCCTGATATGTTAGAGCCACACATAAAATATTTGTATGGTTTGCTTAATAATTTATTTTGCCTGATTAACCATAGTTAACACTATGCCAAAATTTCATCATGCAATGTCTGGACGGACCGCTCCGCGCGCCGTGTCCACGCCACTCGCTCCGCGCCGTTGCTCGCTCCGACCCACGTGGATTCGCCCTAGCCGTCGCACGCCTTGCCTCCTGTGGCTGTCTCGCAGGGCCGCCTCCACCGCGCCAGTTCGTCGCGGTCGCCCTCCCATGTTGCACTAAAAGCATATGTTATAAACATACGTGTCAAGTGTTTCAGATGTTCCAGATTTATGTTGCAAATGTTACATGAGGATATTGCGAAAAAGTAGATCCGGATGTTGCATATGTTGCAATGGCTATACACGTATGTTGCAAGTGTCTATTCAAAATGTTTCATCTACTTCAGACGTATGTTGCAAGTGTTTTATCTTAATGTTGCATATGTTGCAGTGGCTATACACATATGTTGCAAGCATATGTTCTAAATATTCCATCTGCTTCAGACATATGTTGCACGAAGTGCTTTCATGTTGCAAGTGTTTCATGAGTAGACGCAGGCAGTCCCCGTAGGAAAAGGCGGTCCCTATGTGCACGATACAGATATTGCAAAAGTAGATCTGGATGTCGCATATGTTGCAATGACTATACATATATGTTGTAAGTATCTATTCAAAATGTTTCATCTACTTTAGACATATATTGCAAGTGTTTTTATCTAGATGTTGTATATATTATAGTGGCTATACATATACATTGTAAGCGTATGTTCTAAATGTTTGATATGCTTAGAATGCAATTTGTAACCTCCACTACCATTTCTCCACGTCTGTAGCAAAAACTGGCGCAGCCTAGCGCATCCACCGTGCAGAACACACAGGTATCCAAATGCTTTCTGGAATTCCATGGATTGGGTAAATTCCAGATCCCACCACTCCACCTAAGGCATTATTTGAATGCGTATATATTCATCTCAATTTTCATGTATTAAAGTAGATTAGAGTAAAATTAAACTAAGATTTATTCCAATCCACTCCAACACATCTGTATTGAATAAAATACACGCGCATCTAAACCAGACTTAATACACGTGTGGAAGTGGAACCATAACCACCGATGACCACCCATGGAATGCTTTCGATGACCGCCCATGGAATGCCGGAAAGCATTCAGATACTCGTGTGTTCTGAAGAATTGCATGCACGCCCGTGATATAAACAACTTGAGCTACAAATTTGAATTTAAGGCCTGTTCGCTTGTCTGAATTCTGGAGGAATCTGGATGGTTTAGAGGAATGTTGGAGGAATTTGTGAGAGAAAAACACTGTTCCGGATAAAATATAAGCGGATCAAGCCGGGTTTAAGGACACGCGGACAGAGCCTTAGTAGTCAGATCGTCGATAAAAAAAAAAGTTTGAAGCCTATCGTTCATCTATATATATAAAAAACTACTATTAATTTAATAAACCTGCCATAAAATTACAAAAAACACAAAAGCAGAATTTCACCTAGAAAATAGAGAAAATAACATGCATGCGAATGGCTGAACATATTACATGTACATGTAATATTTATAGGTTAACTAGAATCGTTGATTCAGGCATTCAGCACTGACCATCTAAGCACACACCAGACGTACACACATGCATGGTTTTTAAAGTCTGCTACAAAATTATAATTTGAAGTCTACTAGGTGTTCTAGCTATGAAGAATTTCTTTAACATGAAACATCCAAACAAAAGACAGCTATGTATTTGGCAGCAACAGATAACTTTGGAGACAACTCCAGCACTAACAACTCTCCGTCCTTCCATCAAAACTTTTTTCCCTGCATCATTTGAAACAAAAGTAAGACAAGATTATTTGACATAGAACTTCAAAGATATTTGAAAATAAAATGGTCTCTCTACATTTCCTCTTGCTTCTTTGTCTCAGCATTCATGCTCACTAACAGCTAGAAATTCACTGCTTCATTTTTCAACCAAAGAGATATCTATTATGTTATGCAGATTGATAGATGCAAGAAGATTGCTAAGTAATTTCAAAACTACAAACTGCGATCAGTCACAAAAACAAAGGATTGCAATAATTTACACTATCAGAATTTCTGTGCAGACCGTACAAGTTTCTAAGAACTGTTACTTGTTCTTAGAAAATTCATCGCCAAGTTCCAACAAATAAGCTTCACTCCAATAGGATATGCATATTTGGAACTGTTTTAACATGTGTATAGCATTGCAGCAGACTGACTAGTACATCTGCAGATGAACAAAATTCTTTTCTGCCTGATGCTCCACAAACAATTCAACCTACGGGCTACCCACAAAAGTGATAATGCATTCATCAATTTCATAAAACTAATTAATATATTCATCAGTTTTACAGAGGCAATAACAAGATGGAAGAGGAGCAGTACCAGATTACGCTGTTCTAATCTTCTTCCTTAACCACTTGAGTCGTGTTAGAGTCTTTCGCGGTCATGAAAATGACCCTGTTTTGTGGATCTTTGAATACATCAGAAGCCTCGACCTTCTCATCATCTGATAGATCTTCCATGTTGTCCACAACAGCAATGCACACTTGGATGGGGAACTCATGCGCATTAGTTCTTGCCCTTTTCTGCTGCACGGGTTCAGCCTCGGCTTGCTTCTCTTTCAGTTCCAGAAACCATCCCATCATCTCAACAACCTTCCCATCTTGTCTGCGTTTGAATCCTGCTCTTTCCGCTTTATCACTAGACACTGGATTTTTGTTTCTAGAAGTAGCAGGCCTTTTCTCTCTTTTGTTTAATGATGAACTAGTGGTTGGTTGGTCCACAATTCTGACCTCATCATCATCATCCATAGCATGTCCAGAAGGGTCAAAAGGGCCCTTTTCAGTTTCTTCCCCAATATAATTGGCTTGTGTGATGTCAGATTGAGAAGGTTGTGTGGTAGCACCTCGATAAGGATGTGTGACAGGAACTTGGAAAAAAGGATGTGTGATAGCACCTCCATAAGGCTGTGTGACAGGAACTTGGGAAGAAGGTTGTGTGTGTGTGATACCACCTTGAGAAGGCTGTGTGACAGGAATTTGGGAAGAAGGTTATGTGACACCCCCTTGATAAGGCTGTGTGACAGGAACTTGGGAAGGGGCTATGGAGGTAAAGTTTAAGGTTCCCTCAGCAGTTTGTCCTGCACCAAAAAATGAAGTAACTAATGATTAATTCAACTGAATGCGACATGTTTGATTGCAAGGAAGATAAAGCTTTAGCATTGATGATATACCATCATATAGCTCTACTAAAGATTCAAACAATGGGAAAGATTTATTCCGAAATCTCTTGGCCTTAGGATGAGACTATTGAATACAATAATGAAAAGTAATTAGCAATAGAGGTTAAACCAACAATACATTTAAGAATTTAACAAGAATTAATAGTTGTAATAGACAAGAAATCTCACAGTAATAATGTTGTTCCAAACAGCTTCATCTCCCTCAATCCTGCACAGCTTTTCATTCCAATGTGCACCACTTTGTTTTCTTGCTTCTTTTAGAACTCTGTATTCCCTCTTTAACTCTCTGTCTTTGTCTTGGATTTGAACCTTCGTAAATCTGACATACGGGAACTTCTCATGGAATAATTTGACAATTTTGTTCCATGCTTCTGTTGACCATCCATTCTGTCCCCTATAACATTCATTGTTGTGCTCATGAAGAAGGTCAATCAAAGCCTTTTCAAGTCCCGCATCCCAACTCGCTCTAGAATGATCAACTGTCACAAAAAATGTAGCAATTAGAATGGAATTTTTGCTGCAACAAGCCTACTTGCATCTGCTATTCAATTAGAAGCAAGAAAGCAACAACGGCCAGTACAGCTGTTGAAAAATGAAAGTTCAGCAGGCCCTAAAGCAGCAACAGCCAGTATAGCAGCAACAGCAGCTAGTACAACCTACTGAACTGAACAAGTAATAACAGGACATACCTTTTGGTGATGGTTTTCTTTTTGTGTGCTGGAAATCTTTGGAGAAGGCTTTCTTTGGACTGCTGCAGCTTTCATCAAATTGATCCTCGGAGACCCCTTCCAAACATTATTACTGTAAATACAAGAATCTGATATTTAGCGCATTATTACTGTAATAAAAAAAACAGGTTGTTGAAAATAGAAGAACCTGATAGGAATAAAAGTAAAAAACAAAAGCAAATTAATTCAAAACTAGTTAAGACTCACATTTATTAGGACACGTTACGACTGTAGTCATTCCACATATTTAGTGCTATCATATCTCTAACTGTGTTCCCATCCTCTATTTGGCTGCTAAGAGACATCACATCATTATTGTAGTGGTTGTCACCTCCAGGGAGATCAACAAAATGTTCTGGACATATATTGCTTGTTTGGCGATTCAACCAACCCTCATCCCCATTTTGCATCCGTGTAAGATTGTGGAGCACCATTGCTGTAGCTGGTATCTTCACTTGGTTTTCAATGGGAAACGCAACGAGACAATTCCTTTCATGTACTCCTAGAAGCTCTCTAACCTTTTCTTCATCAGACTGACTTGAAGTATGCATTGCACTTTTCTCTCTCCCTCATTACTAGTTAGAAGATATAGGGCAGGCAAAAAGAACAACATAATCTCCTCATCCTCCTCTTCTTTTCTCTTCCTAATTATCAAATCCATTATCTTCTAACTAGAAGGAAAACTGAAGCTAAGATGGCTGCAGCTAGCAAAAAAGCAAAAAAAAAAAAGGCTTCAGAAAATAACTAGCTACAGCCCAGAGGTACAAGGAAAAAACCACATTGTTAACATGGATATTTCATTAACAGAGCACGCAGATTGAGTATACATTATGACAGCACATAACACTCAATAACAGAGCATAATAACAGAGAAATTCGAGTATTTTATTACGCGATCATCAATCAGACAAAGCCTAGTATCTAAACTTAGTGCTCCAACATGACAGCAACACTACATAAACAATAGACCATCAACTTCAGAAACTGTTCACCACAGTTTAACCCATTAGATGGTAAACCACATATGCAATATGCACATATAAATGGCACTGTCAATGGCAGTTTAACCATCCTTCATCAAAAAGGAAATCCATAAACTATATTAAGGTCGGATGCGCATAGGAAATAAACAAGGTAGATACACAAGTTTATAAACACAGATAAGAAAATTGAAGGAGCATAAGCTTTGAAAATTAAGGATAGCCTCAAGCTAGCCTCTGCAAGCTACCACCTGCCCCTGCACGCCACTGCATTGGAGGCAACAAGATGCTCTCCCTGCCATCTGGGTCTCTCATCTCATGATGGTTTGGCATCCATCCATCTAGCAGCCACCAGGGAGGTGAAAAAGAAACTACTACACCACACACTACCATGCCATTGGCCATTCCAATGCATGCTGATCTCATGAATAGAAGATTCTCCTCTCCCACACCAGTGCAGTGCCGGGTATATATAATAGATATGTCACAACTAAATCAGAATTAACCATGAATGCAGAAAGAAAACTTGCAAAGAAATTAATGATTGGGTATTGCCTTGTATTAAAAGTTTTTTTTGTAAAAATTCAGATAATAACAACCTGCCAAGCCAGATATTTGGTCTGTAACTACAACCAAATATATTTGCAATTGAGTATACATTATGACAGCACATAACACATCATTACATCTGCCTTGATGGCGGAGCCAGGATTTCACGGGAGGGTATTCCACATAAAAAAAAGATTCAATACAAATATGAAACAGTAATAATCGAAGTACAAGTTCCTCGTCTACGTTACAAGAATACAATGCAAAAAAAAGCAAAATCTTCAATTATTACACTGAAGAATCAAGAATGGATCTGGGGGTTTTCTGTGTTCACCTTGTTGTTGCTTCAAACCGGAGTTGGGAGGGGGAGGGCTGGATGCCCGGACAGCCAGAGGGGTGCTGCTGCTCTGCGGCAGCCTGCAGAGACCACCGGCCGTCGCCGCAGCCAGAGGGGTGCCGGGCGCAGGGCGCTGCCGCGCTGGTTGCCAAGGCCCGACTGCCCGTGGGCCAAGGGGCGAGGTGGCGACCGGCCGAGGGCCGAGGGGCAGAGCCCACCTGGCGACCTGCCGTGCCACTGCACCGCCGAGCAACAGCCGCCGCCGTCGCTTCCGCCCTTCCGGTCGATGCGAGCGACGGACGGGAGTCGGAGTCACGGACGGGAATACGGTTGATTTTTTTTTTTTGAGCGGAGGGAATACGGTTGATGGCCTGATGAGTTCGTTGGGTGCTGCTACTAGTTTCTATTGTCATGTTAGGCTTATTATGGGCTATGTTTGCCGGATTTGCCGGGTTCAACAAATTAATATGTTGTATCATTATATGTATGTATATATATATTTATATTTCAAAACGTATATACATATATTTATGTTTTGTTTTAAAAAATATGGGTATTCCATGGAATACAGAGGCATTCCTCTGGTGCCACCCATCCCTTGATTATTCGTACTTATACTTCCTACCCAAGAACTCACTACAAATCAGCCTCACATTGTGCACCGCATATCAAGCAAGCAAGAATGACAAAGTCTTCCGCTATTCATCAATTTCCCAGAACTAAATGATGAATTCATCATATTCGTAGAGCAGTAACAAGATGGAAAATGAGCTATACTCCTACCAAACAACGAACAATTCAGTCCACATCATCCATTAGTCATTAATAATAATAAAAAGGAATACACAAGATTTGAACCTGGTACTTAGTCAGGTGGCAGAGGAGGGCACAATTCAGTCTTCTTGGGGCGAAGGTTGAGGAGGAGGAGCTTCTCCTTCTGGTACACCACCCACTTATCTTTGATATCCTAGCAAATCTAGCATAGGAACGAGGGTTTCAACAAAGGAGAAGATCAAGAGAAGGGGTGGAAGATGGAGGAGGAGAGATGCACCCAGTGCATTTGCCCATAACCCATCTCCTGGTTCACAGCCTTCACAACTCTGACCCGGTCGTGCCATATCGTCGTGCACGGGAGGGCGTCCGGTACAATGTGTCTCGTCTGTAGCGCTCTAGACTTTGGTGAACACGTGACATGGCGGGCCACTCACCGTTGATCCAACAGACTCCATGGCGCACGCACCACCCCACGGGGAATAAATTGGGTACGGATGGTGCGGACGCCCCAGCGAGACGGTGACACATGGATCTCAATCTACCGGCTGACTTCGCCTTCCCGCGATGGCTCGCTGCCAATCTGGCTAATTGGCTTGGCTGCTCTAGCCTCCAAGTCTCCAACGTGCACGCGAGCCCGCCTCATCTTCGGCCGCCGCCGCCGCCGCTACCACTCATCCGCGATTTGTTCACCACGGGCCGCCGTCGCCGCCGCCGCGAGGATACCTGACCACGTGATATCCTTTTTCTGTGATTTTCGCAGCTATTTTTGGGGATTTTTTTTCTTCGGATTAGACTGCGCGCTGGGGAAATTTGTTGAGGGCTTTTGGTGCTAGGACATTTATTAGCGAGGAGGTTAACAACCGAGGTCACCATAACAGCATCCAGCTCAACACAGTTACATATTTTTATCGAAATATCTATCTTGCTGAACTCTGAGTAAAAAATCTATAAATCCTCCTTGGATGTATGGTGCAAATATGGCCGAAGATTGCTCGGGCATACAATTTGTAATGTCAAATTGATGACTTACCATTAATATCATATAGCCATGTTTGCTTCAACTTATCAGCCATAGTGTAGTATTTTTCTCTCACCATAAATCAACGAACAGTATTTTTCAGCGAAGCGATCTGTTACAGGGTCGTCACCATCTGGAACATCAACATTAGCAGCAGCATCGAAGGCAGCGTTTGCTTCCACGGTACCTGCGCGCATGGATGCTGATCTGCCTGCCCTGTCTTCGATTGATTTTTTTTGTCACGCTAAGTGTGATGGCGGCGGCCGTCTCCCTTAGAGCAGGTACAAAATTGGCTTATAGTCAAGCTAATCAATATTTTTGCTGACGTAGAAATGAGAAGGAAGAAGAGAAGAGAGCATGGCTTTCGTGCGAGCAACAAGCTAGGCGTAGAATTATAAACACTAGTGGGTCCCAATAAAGATGTATGCGATGAGGAATAGTAAAGAGAATAGAAACATATAATAACTAGAAGAATGTCCCGCATGTTGATGCGAGAATTGCTGGTGAAATTATGCTGCTTATATTTACTAATATATGAATGAATAAATATCATAATATATGTTAGTGGATGATTTTTAGCATTCTGGTGTGAACAACTAAATATATGTTAGTAAATAATGTGCTTTCCTAATGTGAATAGTTTGAATGAAGACATAATGGCATGTGTTAGTTAGATGTGTTAGTGGATGTTGATGTGGGCACTTTGTATGGAGAGATAGTTACATGTGCTAGATAGTGGGATGTTGTAGAGGATGCTAATGTAAACACTTTGTATGGTAAGATAATTTGCTAGTGGGGTTTGAAAATATAAGATACTAGAAGGATACCCGCGCGTTGCCGTGGTTTTTTTCCTAAACATAAATCTGTTATATACATATCTTACTATATGGTATTCTATATATTGTGTATACACATGAATTTGAATTGCACGTTATTTTATTATATCAGATCTCGTAAAAATTGGTAAGCTAATAGAAAAAAACCAATAAAATATTTTATTACGTTATAGAGGAATATGTGATGAAACAAATAGCGTATGTAGATGACTTGTATGTTAATGGATTAAAGATTTAAAGTATTGCACATGATATAGATGACATGGATATTTTCTGTGATTAATAAGTGATGACATGGACTTAGCGTGAAATGATGTGGACACCTTGCATGAAGAGATAGAACATCTAGTGAGATCATTTAGTGGAGAAGTTTAGCTTTATAAAAGTATATAGATATAGATAAAGAAATTTTGTAGACAAACTAAAAACTAATTGACCATAACTTACTTATAGCTAAGCACTCAGCGTCCTCAACGAGGACTTCCGAATCGGCTGCCGATTAGAAATAAAAAAAAAGGCAAGGAACTCCAGCCAGATCGCATATATGGTGTGGGCCGTGGTGTCGGCGATGGTAAGTGCACGGGGTACTATGCGAGCTTGGTTGACGAGTTTGTCGCTGGCTGCTCAAGTTTTCACGTTCTCTCTCTCGTCACGTAGGGAAATAGCTAACAAGAAGATTCTTGCTGGGACGCCCTTAGTTCTGAATAGCTAACAAAGAAGATTCTTGCTGGGACGCCCTTAGTTCTGTTATTGATGTTGCTCTTAAAAGCAAGAGAGGCCCTTTTCCATCCTATATATATCCAGCTGCTGTCTCATATCCATACTAGGCACTGCTACCCACGCTTCGCTGCGGATGATGTGTTTGGTATAGGAAAAATCTTAGAAAATATGGCTCATATGTCTAATATGTTTTCTCATCGCGTTGCTACAAAAAGGTTGA